AGTTTTGATTACCCAGAAAACCATTGCTTTATTTAGAACAGTTAATTATAAAAAATGCAATGGACTACATTGCTGAAGGATACATTGTGTTCTTGGGATGGAAGGAGGCCCTGGGTATGGGGGTTTGAGATCTCTGAAAGATCCCCCTCCATTTAGTAGAACTCAGAGAACTACTCAGAGTAATTTGTATTCTGATATAGCTTCAGATATCAAACTAAGCCATCATTAGTTTGTTTACTTTCAACTTTGTTTGTTGGCTGAAGCTAGCCATTTCATCTTATAAACCATGGTTTTAGCTTTGGTGCAAATTTAAGATATTGCTAAATAAATGTTCTTATGTTCTTATGAATGGTTTGCTCCATTTTGGAACCAGCTCCAGATTTGTGCCACTTCACAATATCATCTGCTTCTGAGTTAAGTTGTTTTCTCTCCTTGTTTTGATGTAGTTTCTTTGCCTTGGTATGGCTGTTGAAGGTTTTAAAGTAGCTGGTGAATCAAGGATGAAATGGACTTCTGAGATGGAGAGGTATGATTTAGCTGAGAACCATTCGCCATGCAACTTCTCCTATACTAGGTTTGCCATTGCACCAATTCATAATGTGAGTTTTGGCTTAGCATTTTGTGTAAACCGAGGTGACTATGCTTTATTCCATAAGCCATGACTAAACAAACCAAAGCTTAGCATTCTAGGCCAATGTAGTAAATGACAATTATAATGGCAGTCACTGGAAAAGAAAAAAATAAATAAAACGGTGTCCAAGGCTATTTCCTGATAAGAATTTTGTTGGGTGCCGGATTTATCCAAATTCACATGTTAAGATTAAATATCGGAATGTAATTTGCTTTTGAAAGGTACGCTCTTATTTCAGAAATTATATTTTTAAGGCTAAGCATTCCTAAGAAATATCAGGGGTATGTATCAGCTATGGAATAGCACATGTTGGCAGTCACTTAGCCCAGAGCAGCTAGATTGCAGAAGAGGGTTTCCACATTGCAAACAAGCAATTAGCCGTGCTTCTGTGGTTATGTTGTTTATGCCATGTTCTGTTTGAAGCTCATCCATCCGGTATCATCACAAACCACGAAGTCATTAGCTTCCACCTGGTTCATTTGTAACTCATGGATCACCCCAGAGGACTTTGTGGTATGAGATGCTTTGGTTACATAGTGCAAAGCATGTGCTAATTCAGGATCACAAAGGATTCAGTAGTGGCAGAAAAAAAAAAGAGAAGAGTCTGAACTGGCTCCATTGCTATCTGATCCCATATCCCTTAGATATGTTCACGCATCATGCTAAGTCATATTTTGCCATGGTTTGTTTAACCATGCATTATTGACCAAGCCACAGTTGGCTAGGGTTATGCACCATGCTAAGCCAGATGTACATGATGTACCAACGTGAGTTCACATAACTCGCGAAGTCAAACAACCATATCATGGCACAGTGCAAAGTATGATCTAGGTAGGCTGAAAGCTATATTTCAGTTCCTCCAAGTTTCGTTTCATACTGGATTCTCAGAATGATTAAGAATGTATTTCAAATTTTTCTTGATTATGTTTTTGATTTTTGTTAAAAAAGGGAAAGCTATTTATTTTTCATTGAATGAGAGTGCTTGAAAAAGGCAAAATAATTTCTCAGCCAAGCGCTAGTGAGAATAAACGGCCTTGTGTGGGTACTTTTGTCTTAATTTTTAATTCATTACTAGGGGAGGAATTCAGTAATAACAGCAATAATGATAGGTTTGTATAGACAATAGTACATGAAAATGAAGAACCAATAGGATAGACAGGGCTAAACTAGCCAGGCCGGTGGTCCTCCTTAGATATCAAGCCATGAGATCAAGCCTCCTTAGATATTATGCCTAAACACTTAACAGGAAATGTTTACAAAGCCTCATAGTATCTTGAATTAGTATCTGTCTCTACCATATGGCATATAAACCTATAGATCCAGTGTAGTAATTAGAGTCTGTACTGGACTAGAGGAGATCCAGATCCAAGTCCCCACTCTGTCCAAGCTTCATTGGATGACTCTGGGCTGGTCTCTCTCTCTCTCCCAGCCCAACCTACCTTACACAGTAGTTATGGAGCTATAATCACAGGCAGGAGCTTTGTATTCTGCCTTGAGCTTATAGCAAAAAGATGGGGTATCAATAAATAATGTACCCCTTTCCCTCTCCCTTTTTTCCTTTTGGTTAGAGCCACTCAAGTGAAGTGATGTACTTTTGTGGATCATCTGTGGATGGAGGACTGGAAAAAATCAGACTGTATTTTTTTCTAATCTGCCACAAGATTAGAACCAGAGGAACTATAGCCAGCCAACACCAACAGTACTAGGTAGATGAATAATAGGCTTCTGATAATCTGACTTGGTATAAAGCTTTTCTTTATATGTTCCTAAACTTGGTTCCCTGTATCAAATGTTTGTACCTACACTAGCAGTGTTGCCTAATGCCCCCAACTTGTGTTCTATAGAAATGGAAGTACACACACACACAAACACACACAAAAAAAACCTCTGGGGCGCGTTATGTTGCAATCCCTTACAGAGTGAGAGGCTTACAGAGGCTGCGATCTAATTAGATCCTCAAAAGAACAATGTTGATGTTCTAAAGCAGAGAGAAAATCAAGTTACTCTACCTTTGCAGAAGGTGGGGGAGAACATCTACAAAAGCAAATGTGAATGATGGCAGCAAAAGCCTAGAGAAGCCAAAATGGTGGGGTGGGGTCTTTAAAAAAAGAACGGAGATTTTTGAAGGGGGGCAAATGAGCATATAAAGGGTTGGAAATACTTTGATGCTGTTTTCATAGGCTTACAATGCTTTCCTCTGGAAGTTTGTTCATTTATGGGTTAAAAACATCTTCCAGCTAGTGCCTGGAGAACTTACAAATAATGGAGACTCTAAAAAGACTGATAGCATGTAGCCTGATGTAGCATCATATTCTATACTACAGCGATCTGCAATAAAATGGGATCAGTGAGGGAAGATATATGCCTCTATCTGGAAGTAAACGACGACAACAGACCCAAATAAAATCAATAACTCTCTGTTGTCCTTTCATTTTATTCAAAATCCATTGCTTAAAATAGTCACCTTGGTTTCCACAAAGAAAGAATTGTACTGGCTGGGAGACTCTTCTGTCCCATAGTAAAGATGTTTTGGGAATAATATTACTACATGAAGAAACCAATCATTACCACATCAGGAAGGACCATGATGGGCAAAAAATAAATGCTTTCCAAGATGGGATAACTTTAGATCTTATTTGATGAATTGATTGAGAACATTTACACTTCTTTTTCACATTGGACTTCAGAGGCAGTATTTGTAATAAAACACACACACAATAGCTAAACTCATCTTAGCACTGAAAGCCATCCACAGAACGAAACCGTTGCAGATTGAAGCCTCTCTTTCTTTTCTTTTTTTTTAAAGGCTATTAAATTCACAGGCAGGCAAAGAAACTGTTTTTATCTGGCTGTAAAGTTGATGGTTGCTTTAATAAGCCACTTCCTGTTCGCATAGTGATAGAAAGTAAATGCATGATTTATTGAGGGATACTGAAGTAGGATGAATGGTTCATTCCCATGGAAGTGCTTCTGATGGGCAATCAATCATGAAAGAAATAAATGTTACAGAACGTGTTAGTGATTACGCACTAGAAACTGTGCGTCGTCCCTTGTACTGTGGTTCTGACATGGGAAAAGAGGAGTTTGAGGAAATGCCAAGTGTGGCTGAACACAGGCCCCCATCAGCCTTGCTGTGTGGGCCAGTGGTGAAGGATGCCAATTCAGCAAACTCTGAAAAGCTACAGTTCTATAAATGTACTATACAGGTTTATCTGTGGATAAGCCTTGTTGAAAATGGGACTTGCTTCTAAGTAGATATATTACTCATAGACGTTTGGGTCAATTAATGAACCTGCCCATTAAAATTTGTCAGCATGTGCATACGAGAAAACAATACTTTTGAAAAGCCATCCTTTTTCACTCCATTTAGATAATGCAGTATGTACCACAGAAAAAGTTTTCCCTCCCACATGAACTCAGTTTGCCATATGTAACTTTCTGTAAAGATTTTTTTTTAAATAGTCTCATCATAACCTATTTTCTAGCCATTTAAATTTGGTATTGTTTGGTCAATTCAAAAGATATTTTAAATCAGTTGAACTGAAGAAATTTTTAACAAGATAAAAACAATACCAATTAGAAAAAAACAAAAAAAATAAGGACGTGAATAAGTAAGAAAGAAAATAGAAAAAGGAAAAGGAAAAAAAGAAAAAAGATTATAAAGAAGCAGCTTCCAATCTTTTTGACAGCAGTTATAAATGCATTTATATTTTACCCTCTCTCTCTAAGAGAGGGTAAAAAAAAGGAAAAGGAAAAAAAGAAAAAAGATTATAAAGAAGCAGCTTCCAATCTTTTTGACAGCAGTTATAAATGCATTTATATTTTACCCTCTCTCTCTAAGAGAGGGTAAAAAAAAGGAAAAGGAAAAAAAGAAAAAAGATTATAAAGAAGCAGCTTCCAATCTTTTTGACAGCAGTTATAAATGCATTTATATTTTACCCTCTCTCTCTAAGAGAGGGTAAAACATAATTTCCTTCTTTCCATAAACTACCTTTTCTAATTTTCAAACCCATAAATCACAAGTTCATTTTTCTTTTTTTTTCCAGCAAAAAGTCCATAAGGGGTTTCCAGTTGTTGATTTGGCTTTCTTCAATCCAGTGCTACCACAACTGCTTTATAGGTCTGGTCTCGGCAGCAGCAACAGGCACTATGGCAAATGGTGAGTGATCATGGTGATTGTAGTCCAAGAGGGCATCAGGCTGGAAAATTATCTATTTGTCCATTCATCTATTCATGCTTCAGCTTTTTGTCCTACTGCTCCTAGATGCCCTAACCATTAGCATTTCCTGGTTTGGGGTTACTGGATTTGTATTCCAAAACATACGAAGGTCAGAACAATGATCTATTCCTATGTGTACACATATGCCCTTCACTATATGAAAACTATATGGACATCTCTATGAAATCACAAGAAGTTGAACTCAACTCAAAAGAGACTTTGCCTTACTTACTGTAGGATTTGAATCTATATCTAAAGCATAACACTGACTGCAACACAATTATTGGCAGGGATTATCTTCTTCTTGAAGGTGAACATTTCTTTCAACCCACTTCGGAAGCGATCATGCAACCAGGCATAAAGGAAGGGGTTGTAGCAGGAAGAGCTCATGGCGAACCAGTGGCAGAGCAACTGCAAGAGAAGGAAGTATTCTTTGTTGATGAGGTTGATGTTGATGTCACGGATGATGTTGAAGACATGAATGGGGAGCCAGCAGACAGCGAAAGCAGCCACCACCAACACCAGGAGGCGGAAGATCTTCCTTCTTCTCAGCCGGTCAAACTCTGCCTGGCTTTGTGTTGGATGACCCGGCACAACACGGTTCTTCAGCTTGATGGTGATGCAGATGTACGAGAGGGAGACCGCTGAAAGGGGCAGGATGTAGGTGATGATCAAGGTGCTGTAAGCATAGGCCAGGTGCTCTTTCTCTTCTCCTATCCAGAACTCCTCACAAATGGCAAAGCCTTCTTTCTGGAACTCCACATGGTAGGTGTGGGCAACAGCTGGAACTACCAGGGCACATGAGAGCAGCCAGATCCCACCAATGATGTACACACAAGTTGTAAATGAGATGCGTTTCTTCAGGAGATGCAGAGTGGTGTAATACCTAGGAGAGCAGAGAGGAAGAGAAATAAGCATGACCTCCCCTCTCACGCCTTTCTCTGCTCTTTTATTTAATTATTTCTGCTTCTCCATCATCCCTAACCACAGCTCTGTAGGGTGCTGTCAAATCTATTAGCAGGAAGAAAAAAAAAACTTTAAAAATGCTAAAACAATAGAAAAAATTAAAACAGAGAAGAGGACCACATCCAAGATAAATTTCAGGCACAGTAATAATTAAGGGAAGAAAACGCAGCATAAAAAGCAATGATGTTTCTTATGGTCGTCATCATCATCATTGTCATCATCATGAGTATTAGGATCAGTACTGGTAACATAACAGTAATAGTTGGAACATTCCTAGATGCCACAATCATCTTAATATATAATCAATAAAACAGCCAACTTAATCAAGGTGACCTGTAGACCCAATATAACAACAACTGTTGTCCCCCAGCACCCTTTTACTTTTAATTGGCCGTGAACCCACGTATTAAATAGATAGGTTGTCAGGCTGTCTTTCCAATCAGCGTGCATTATTCTTCTTACCCAAGTAGCTTAACGCTGAGGGCTTTGATGGACACAAATATCAGTATAACTGAGTGTTCCCCCACCATCACCACCTCAGGTCCACTCCATAACATGGAGATGTTAACGTCAGATCAATTGTCGATCTCCATGGATTCCAAAAATGTGGCTAAAATGAATGGCTGAAAATGGCAGGGAATTAGATTTTGGGCTAAACATCAGGGAAACCTTCCCAGTTATATAAGCTGTTGAACAATGAAACTGGAGATGGCCAGTTTTGTTCTGCTGGAGGAATTAAACCAGAGGCTGGGCCTCCATGTATTAGGGTTAATAAAGTGGTATCTGGCCTTGCAGATTCTCCATTGAAAAGGAATGGATTGCATAATCTCCAAGCTCCCTTCTGCTGTTACGATTCTATGATTTAATATATGATCTTGGAAGGAAGTGTGAGATTGTACAAGAAATAAAAAGTATCCTGGGGTGTGTGCATCTGCAGGGAGGGAGGATCAAACTTCAGCACAATTCTCCAGAAGATGCACACACATACACCCACCTGGAGTTTTCAGTTCACTGGGGTTTACTCCTGTGTAAGTGTGCATAAAATTGTAACATTTAGCTGACTCAGAGCGTCACTTGCACCATTTTCAGTTGGGTTTTTGATGCAACAGAGGGATCAGGCCTTTTGGGGGTTGAATTCTTCTGATACTTGCTTCCCTGCTTGGCCCAGTCCACAGACCGTTTCCGGCTTAGCTCTGGTAGCGCTGCCAATTAATAAGGTCTGCACGAAAGATTAAGAGAACCAGCTAATGATGAGTTGCCGAAAATTCCAGGCTGGAGCACGAAAGCTGCCAGAGGCTTCAGGGTGACGTGGACTTAATCCAGCATTCTTCTCCTTCCCACCCCCTTCTTTGATTTAATTGATCTTCCATTTCTGTTGTCATTAATTAAATAAGAGAGGCATGTCCCAAGGTAAAGCCGGAAAAGGAAAACATGTCCTTCCACCCCAGAACAATCTCAGTCCTTGGCAGTTGCAATTATGCCATCAGCAGCCTGATCACAGCATTAAATAATGGGGGTAGTATATATTGTGGAAGAATGAATCACAGAGACTTCTCTTTCTTTTCAGGTGGACAATTAGTATTACACAGCAGGTTCTTCCTGGCCTCTCTCAAAACCTGCCAATTAACCAAGCACTCCTTAAAACATACATGCCAAAGTATTTTTGTTGGTCTAGACTTATTTTGTAAAGTTTTTTTTTAATGTTAGACTAAAGGATAGTTTTTATTATTTTTTAAAAGATATTGGAGTAAGAGGTGAATTTATTTAACACCTATGCCTGTACCAAGGAAAGTTAGAAGTTACTTTTCTTTTTTCTGTATTTTTCTTTCTTTTGTTATTTTTTCCTCTCCTTTCGATCTTTTTGTAGTTTGCTTTTTTTCTGAAACTTAATTAAAAAGGTATGTGTGTATATGTATGTGTGTGTGTATGCCAAAGTTTCCTAAAGTTTGGTTTTCAGAGATAAGGCTGTGTCCCACTGCTGAGCTGTTGAAAAAAGCTTATATTGGCATGACATTTGCTGTTCCCCTTGCCAGTTCCTAGCCTGTTTCAATGGCCTCTGTTCCCAGTCACTGCCAGTTCCCTAAATTCTCTCCAAGGTTGCAAAGTCTAACAGGTATCTTACGCTTTGAGGCTGCTTTTGGACAATATCAAAATAAAAGGAAAAACACTTACACCTGTACAGCCCAGGATAATAAGCCCATCTCTTTCACGTATGGGGAACTTTGCTAAATGGAAACTTGCTTCCTTCTCTCTAGGGTGGCCACCAAACAGAGGAAACACATCACCAAAAGATCCAGGTTTGCATACATTTCTGTATATCTCAACCAATGTAATCAGTTGCCGCTTTAAAAAGATAATGATTATAATTAAAAAGAAATCAGGAATGTTCACTGACTTACACATGGTTTCAACAGCAACAAAGGATTCTTTTCATGTATCGTCTCATCCTTGCAACGATGTGCTGTACTCAACAGCTGCTTTGAGAATGGTAACTATCAATCAGGAATTATCACTGTCTGCATTCTGATATTGAATTATGAACCAATTCTCCATAGCAAGACCTCAAAGGCCTCCCTCTCTCCTTGTGATTGGAGGGAACACTGCAAAAAATCCTCCATTACTATACAAAGAACATTCATTTGGTTATAGAGGATTTTCTGTACTAGCAGCAACCAATATAGCAGTATTTTCTCCATTCCTCCCCGTAGGCCCTTTGCGGAAGAAGCTTCTCCATCTCAAGAGCTGTCCAACCATAGCTCTTTGATGGAAGATATCCTTTTCGTGAAGGTGAAATGGAGGGAATGGGCAGTTCTGTCTACAGCCTTGAGTTCTCGGAAGGAGATTAAAAATGTAATAAAGCAAGCCTACCTTAAGCTAAGAAAAGGTAGCTTTTCTGAAGTCTTTGAAGCCTTCCAGACTGTATCACAACATTTGGCAACAAAACTGCCAAAGGCTGATGGAATGACTTTCTACTGGTAGGGCCGGTAAGTGTGTTGGCTTTGATAGGCTTAATGAACCTATTTCTGTTTTTAAAAATATACAAAAAGGAGAGGGCTGAAATTTATATCCCATTCCCTCTGGAGACATCACTGCATTAGCACCAGGGCCTCTGCAGTTTGTGGCAGCCCTAATATACTATTTCAAATAAAGTGTGGCCCCTGATAACAGAAACTTGCTACCGCTTCCACATGCCAGCAATATCACGCCTTTAATTAGCATTGCTTTGTTGTGAGTTAAATATGATCTTGCATGGATCATTCAGTATCCCTGAGCTAGGATTACACAATGCACCCACCCAGATCTGCAGCTCAGTCCACGTGAAGGATGCTCTTTTTCTTCTCTGTCTCATCTTCTGTTTCGCCGAGCCATCACAAGTACCATTTACAAAGGCCAACACGTATGGAATCTGGTGCACATCCAGATTCAGGGAAATGCATGGCCAAGAATCAGATGTAGTCTAGGTTTATCCATGATGGTTTTGTGCAAATAGATGTCCTGTTATGGACATGACAAATACATCTGCCTGGGAAGGGTGAGGAGCTGGCTCTTATTCCCCTTTGCTAGAGGGGCTGTAGGCATCATTAGATCTCTTACACAATCTGGCCCATTGTTTTAAATAATTATTATTTCCAACTTAGTCCAGGGTACCACGAACCCTCTGAAAGCCCGAACAGACACTTTCCAGAACCCCTTCAAAGGTTGCCCTGCAATTGTGGCTTCCATGTATAGAATTATTTCATTTAATTATCTTTTAATGATTCATTTAGTCCCGTCACCATCAACTTCTTGTCTTGGTCTTATCTACTTTTCGGAATGTGCCCCCCTCCTCTCGGAGAGGCTGTTCAATGGATTGGCGGAACCTGTGGACTGCAAGTTGCCCCTCCAACCTTGCTAGGGCTGTGTTGCTATGGAAATGTTGTATCACCCACTCCCTGTTCCAAACAGTTTCTACATCCGCGTCTGGCTTTCCAAAGACAACAGCTGCATTTGGTGGCCATGAAATGATTTCTTTCTCTGTGACAAATAATAAGATATCACATTATTAATGGCAGGGCAGGGACAATTCCCACTGCAATAAGGAACCAGCTGCCGCTGTGGTCCTTCCTTGGACGAGACTGTGAGAAGGATGCAGCAGAGCAAGTGAGTCTAATTCTCTGGTCATAGGCATTCGCTCAGCCCTCCCAAGGAGGGAAAGGGATGTAAAAATTAGCTTATTTACCAACCCAGTTGGCCACAAGTTAGAAACATGACGACAGCTTGGAGAGGGAAGGATGAAAAGTGAGGCGTAGAAAACAGCAGACAACAGGATGAGGATGATCAGCCAGTAAACACTTTGTGTTTTTAACTCTCTGCTGGAAATACAGAAGGAAGAACAACCTCCCCCAACCATAATAAGCTCCTTCCTGGCAGGAATGAAATTAAAACAGTAGGACATTTATAGAACATCAGAAAGAACAAGGTTCACCTATCACCTTGTCCTAAGGAAAGGGCCAAAATGTAATGGTAAGTACATGCTTAGCATGTAGAGAACCCCAGGATCAATTCTCACAATTTATGAGTAGGGTTTGGGAAGAGTGAAGAACTCTTGACCAACTTCCTAGAGAGCTTCAGTCCTTCAGGGCAACCCAAGCATCCCCAGTTTCATGCCCTCAAGGTGAGTTGTATTTCAACTTACCTAGGCAAGTCAAAGATTGAATATGAGGTCTTCCTCCTGCCAAGCAAGTTTCACCATTGAGCTGCAGGGCTTCCTCTTAACCCAGAACCTGGATTTGCACATTGTGTTAAGGCATAATTTGTCTAAATATGGTTTACTGAATAAATCACAGTGTTTAGATTCACACAACGCACTAGGCCAAAACCGAATAAGAGAAACACACAGCAGGCCAAATGCTCTGGTTTTCAAGTCAAATATGACAGCTTAGTGAGAAGTGTGTGAACCAAGCCATAGGACTAGAGCTTGCAAAATTTAGACTCTTGATTGATTGGGAACACTTGGTTACCTGTCCACAGCAATAGCTGTAAGAGTGAAAACAGAGACATAGACAGTCATGGGCTGCATCAGGAACACAAAGTAGCACAAGAACTTCCCAAAGATCCATCCCTGGGGGCTGAAAGCATATGCTAAGGTAAAGGGGATGCAGGTTGCACACATCAACATATCTGAGAAGGCCAAGTTTCCAATGAAGAAGTTGGTGACGTTGTGCATTCTCTTGGTCTTGCAGATAACATAAAGGAGTAGGTAGTTGCCAAAGATACCAACAAGCACCACCAAGGTGTAGCAGGGGATGATCAGAGGTTTGAAAGACTGGACCAGCTGCACACTAGTAAACTGAGAGCTGGAATTTGAGCTGTTCCTTAATGCTACCTCAGAGCTGCTGCTGTTAGAGAAGCCAGGATTCCAACGGCTGGTGGATTCCATGAGTCAACCGCAACAGAAGCTGGACTTAAAAATAAGTGGAATGAATAGCTACGTAGAGAACTTTTACTTTGAGCTCCATCTCACATTGTCTCAGCAGGTAGCCAACCTCCTCTGGGCTCAGAAACTAAGCAGGATCGGGTCTGCTTAATATACGGACGGGCTGTAGACCACACTGAGAAGTTTAAAAAAAAAAAAAAATCCCAGGAGAAGGTAACAGCAATCCACTTTACTACTGTTGCCCAGAAAACTACACAGATGTGTCCTTAAAGTCAACAAAAGTCATGCACACCTTGAATGGTACAGTAGCTTTGACATTGTTGCACACCATCAAATACAGAAAGACAAGATATCCATTAAATAAAATGGATCCTGGATTTAGCCTGATTCACTATCTACATTTCAGAAGGTGCCTTCTGTTCTGACGCATTTCCGTATTCATGGGGCATCTTCTGAAGGACTTGTTTTTGAAGCCGCCGTAGGACTGAGAGGAAATGTTTTCAAGGGTCATGAGTCTGGGTCGTTTATGGTCATTAGGCACTCCCTGCCTTTTGATGCCTTCCCCATTTTCATCTGAGTCACTTCTGTAGCTCTGCCATAACTTTATTCTTTCATCTCACGATCATAACCCCTTTGTTTACTTTTTCAAGGGAAGGATTTGTTACACGGGTGCCTGAAACAGCAGCTAAAAAAGGAAAAGAAAAGGGAGGGAGAGGCTTAGAATGACAGGGAATCTGGTAAACAGCTTTCCCCCAAAGACTGGCATACGGAAAAATGTGTTAACAACATGACAGGCCCAGATTGTGTTGCTCAGAGCTCATCAGGGCTGCGCTGTGAAGTGAAAGCATCCAGCAAAAAAGTCCTTTTCTAAAAATGCGGGATGTTATCTCCAACCCCCCCAATATTTTTTTGACAAATTAACCATGTGGTGAAGAAGTCTTCTTGCCTTTGCAATAACTGGCACCTATGGAAAACAAGAGTGCATCGCCATTGTTCAGCTGTGAACAGTACACACAAAATGTACTCTGCCATAACCTTGTACACAGATAAATCTGGAATCCTGAATCAAATGGAGCCACAGAATCTCTCTGAACTACTGATCTTGGATCTCCTTAGAGTTTCATGAGCATTTCAGTGCATTAGACAGCTACAGAAACCCAGATAATGACAAAGTTCAAACACCGCACTGTAGTTTAACTATGGCTTATTGAATCAGTTGCTGACTTTACATGAAATACTAGGTCAAAATCAACCAAGTCAACCTCATTTAGCATTTTGGATAAACTAGCTCAATTTGTCTGCAAAATCCCTCGTATTTAAATTTTGCTCTTCCATATATAGAAAATACCAGCTGGGTGGGGGGGGGGGCAAGAAGGAAAAGGAGATGAATGAATCCAGTTTCTATTCACATAGACCTCTAATTTACAGCATTTTGGAGGAAATGCTGGATGTTATGTAATGGTTGATTCTTAGATCTGCTTTGTGCTTTTTGTCAATTTTGTTTCATCTGAGCACAACCATTTGAAGAACTTTCGCAAAGCCATCAAATTCCTTTTCCTAAAATCGGTGTTTTCCTGTTTAAGTCTGTCCATTCTAGTGACAGAAAATCCACATAAAGGAATGTGATTAGACACAGGAGCTGGGTATGGGCAAATGAAGTAAAATTTTATTGCATTTATTTATGGAGTCCATGCACTTCCTCCATCTGGTCAGACTCTAGGAAATATAGAGATGTGATGACAGACCCACAAACATCTCATGTTGCCTCATTTCAGACTGAGGATTGCATTTCCCCTTTGAAGGGTCTGCTGGAGTCTTCTTTCAAAAATGTAGGGTTAGCTTTTAAACTAAACGTGAAATCTGAAGTAAATCAATATAATACAGTTTTATTACTCCCTCTGTATTCAGAAATGTCCTTAACGCTTTCCCATTATGATTCAGCGACAATTTGTGGGGTGATCACCATGGGATATGCAGCCAAGGATCTATGCAGTGGAATGAATGGGAAGGCTGCTGAACTGAATGATCTCCTTTGGCAGTTATTAATGAAATAAAACACACCGTCATCTGACTTCTAAAGTCCATTGAAATTTACCATCTAAAATTGTCTAACAATATTAGGCAGACATTGAGGCTGGACATAATTTTAGCATCTGCTTTTTTAGGTTTGTTTCAAAATCTTTTGGTTACATAGGCAAGGGGAATTGATATCACTTAACACAAGCCATGCAACGTTCAAAACCCACATGGGGTCAGGGATCATTTTGCAATTATCCTAAGTTTTGGCTTCTTTTATAAAATAGGATTTCAACCTTAGCAGAGAATTCCAGGAAGAAGGTGATTGAAAGGACCTATTAAAAACGTTAATTACACATGTGAGTTGTAACTGAAAGGTAATTTTTCCCCCGGATAAATGAGATGGATTTCTTTCCTGAATAGAAGTCCTATAAAATACAGAAAAGTGACTGGAATGGTGTTGCCATTAAGAATGAACACTTTTGAAGCTTAATCCTTACCAAGAGAACATAGAAGGAACACCCACTGAGCTCAGGGGACTAAATTCCAAGTAAATATACTTGGAATAAAGGCTAAAGTACTTTTACTCAAAGGTAAGCCCTATTGTTTTCAGCGAGGCTCCCTTCCTTTCAGCTTATGCCCATTCAAAATGCCCAAGAAGAGCTCCAGTGCCTTCAAAAACAGAAAGCAAGCCCAATTTTGCTCCATCTCCTTCCTGCCTTCTCTCTTTTTACAAACGATGCTATTTCTGGATCATGTTTTGGAAGTGTGTTTATTTTTTTACCTTTTCTTGCCAACCAAATGCTAGGAGAAGAGATGCTTAGCCTATTATCATCCTGCCAAAGCTGACTCCCAAAATCTTTACCCTACTTGGAGACTGATTCCCTTGTACTTAATACTTGACTAGCAAACTGATCCGTGTATATATAAATGAGACATCTACTGACCTGTAGAATAATTCAGGATGGCAAGCAGGCTGAGGATGCCACGAGCAAAGCAACGGAGTCAAAGGAGGTGTGCACGTCAGGAAGAGAGAGAACGTGTAGGCTGCGTTCTGAAATACGAGGTGCCAACTATGTACATTTCAGCTCGGTGGCTGAAGTTCTAGGATAGCTTTTGGCTTGCTACTGCCCTCTGCTGGCTACTCTTGTTTTAACCTGTTTCCAGTGGAATTGTTGAGTTAACCCGTTGCAACAAAAATAACACGACTTGGATCACATAACCCATTAAGCTAGAGCTGTGCAAACTGCAGCCTACCATAAATAAATTTTTTCTCTGGGTGTGAAGGAGTATTTTTCTGTTTTAGTTTGGCTTGGTTTTGCTCACAGTTTTTAATTAGGAGAACCGTATATCTGAGTTGCAAAAATCAGGACGACCGGGAGACAACCGCAAAGAGAGGCAGAAAACACTAAAGTCTTTGCTGCCATCTACTGGTTGGTAATATTGTTGCAGCCCAGATATGGTAGCCCTATTCTCGTTTTTTTTAAAAAAATCTGGGGATCAAGTGAGATCGTAAGAGGCCACTCTCAAGACTGGGTTTGAAAAAAAAATACATTGAGGTGGTTTGGTCATATAGGGAGAATGAGAACTGAATGGCAAAACAGGGATATGAAGGAAGAAAAAAACGGGTGGAGACCAAGGCTGAGAAAGTTGTGGTTGGATGGAGTTGATGAGATCCTGAAAAAGAGGAAGGAGAAGTTCTGAAGAACCAAAGGCAATGTGTAAAGCAGTGTGTGGACATGCCAAAAGGAAGGATGGTTTGCAAGGACAGAAAGGGGTAGAGAAGGATAGTGAATAGTGTTGGTGTAAACTAGTTTTAGCCATGCTTCTTATTAATTTCCTATCTCAGAGCTTTAATTTCTAGGGTTACGATTTCTTGCTCCTTTTCTACACTCTGCATAATGCAGAGATGGGTGGCTATGTAAATGTAATGAATGAATGAATGAATGAATGAATGAATGAATGAATGCAAGCAAGCAAGCAAGCCTGGGCAGTGTACAATTAATATTGTTGGCCCTGAAAGGAATAACTTAGTACGCATTTACTGTAGACATGTAGTATGTAGTGCTACATATTGTGGGAACCCAGCTATTCTCTGAACACATGGCATGTTAACCTGACCATTGTGTTAATCCATAATACCATATCATTGAGCACAACAAGGTATACATACCCAGGAACTGTGTTTTGTTCAGCAAGGTTTAGCATTTAGCTTGTTATCTGAACAGAGCCTAATTGCATGTGTTTGATAATTAATTAATTTCATCAATTAATGTTTGTCCTATTTTCTTTTCAATGTGGCCGGGCTGTCTTTTCAGTGCAATGCTATTTAAATGTTGGATGACAATTTTGGACTCTTCAAAGCTATAATATAGTTTGCTTCTTGTTCTTGAGGAAATGCAGCATTTGGGATTTGTAAAGCATGGCTTATTTAGCCATGGTGATTTTTTTCAACAAATTGTGGCGAAGCAAACAATGGAACTGGGTTAGCCTTGTGGCAGCTGAAAGATAAACACATTTAGTATAAATAAACTCTGATGGATTGGAGTTGACTGTTGCATAGAATTACAAGCACACATGCCTAATGGGATTAAATTGGGATTTAGTCATGCTTAGAAGCATGGAACCAATCACTTCCATGAAAGTTCTCAAAGCAGAGCCCTGATGTGCGGGCAGGTGTTGTTGTAGAGAAAGCAGGGAGGAAAGATGAGTGAATGGAAAAAGGGGAGGCCAGAGCTACAATTACTGAGTGTGAGCATTAACAAAGCACTATCATTGTGTCTGTGTACCTTTCTTTCTTAGGACCTGCACCCTACATCTGATAAAGCAGATTGTGTGTCATGAAAGGTTAATAAGGAGTTGATCTTTAAAGGGTCATGAGATGTTTTGCTACAGAAGATTATAGAAGTTACCCCTTTGGAAGCTGTTTTGGAACGGAAGGCCACAACTAGAAGATTGTTACAGAAAAACCCGTCTCAGTATTCCAAGGGTTGACTAATAGTTTTAAAAACTGCCAAACCCATCCCTCTCAGTCCTAGTTTTGAAAAAGTTATGTGTTCTTTAGGTATAGGTTATGTCGCTTCTTCATATTCCAATGAGACTACCATCTGGCTTTCAGACAGATTTTTCCAGATAAGTAGTACTTCTTTTTTGAACAGATGCTCATCCTAAGTGATATGCAGACAGAAGAGCAGACTGAGGACCATGAATATCAGTTCAATCCCCTGGTGATACCCTACGTTTCCCCAACGGTTGCCCCAGCAGACTTTGGCTGCAGGAAAGCAAAACAAGACTGGAAGGACTGTTGAAAATTGTTTTTATGGCTCTGCTTTTTCTTAACCTTGACTCTGTACCCAGTGGACCAAGGCTGAAGATTCTGATTTTCTTATGTGTTGAAATAGCCATCAAGGCTGTTGATGCGTTTAATTTATGCTACATACTGCCTGAGATCTTTCATGTATACAAAGTGCTTGAGGGATGCTCTTTATTGGGAATAATTTAATGAAGTGGCCCGTTTTGTTAATTAATCCCTCCCCCCCCCTTCCCTACAAAGTTCTTCAGGATGGTATCTGTAATTAAGAATGCATAATTCTCTAGCTTTCTTCATCCCAAAGGATTGCGCTACCGTTTTCAAGTAGGAATTGAATATTCATGTCAGCAAAAAGTACCTGCAACATAATGTGGGAAAAGCAGTGCGAACATCCAGATAGTACACAGTACTGGGTTCAGATATTTCACCAAACCTTAACGTGATTGGCTTGGTTTTGGCTTGGTATGATGTGTGAATGGGACAGTAAAAAAGTAGGGCTTGTTTGAGGACACTAAACCACCAATTAATTCTGCAATGAAACTGTGAGCAGTTGTAGTCTCATGTCACGTGAGAATGGGGATGTATGGTTTGTGATTTCATGACTTACTCCTGATTTGTTCTTGTGCCTTGTTCAAGCCTGTAGCCAGTTCCCAGAAAGGCATGGTAACAGCAGCTAAAAAAGGAAAACCACCACCATCACCAAAGCAGAAACTGGCTAAATTGGCCGTGATTACTTTGTACATCTATAAAACTGATTTTGGCTTTGCGTGGTGCAGAAACCATGGTTGCAGAGGTAGGGATTCTGAGGACCTTAAATGTTATTGAACTGCAACTGCCAGCCCTCCTGACTTTTTGACGTGCTGTCTGGGTCTGTTGTTATAGTTCAGTCATATCTGGAAAGCCACAAGTTCCCTACTCTGTATTGTGTGAACAGTCAAAACAGTTTTCTTTTTAGATGATGTTAAGTCAGTTTGCTTCCATTCATCCTCAGCAGCATGGGGAAGGTGAAACTGGTTGTCCGAAACCTTTGTGGGTGCCAAAGTTTGGAAAGGTTGGTTCATGGTGACTCCATGAAGAGGGATGTGCTGTTTTCTTAGAAACATTCTGGAAGTAGTTTGCTGTGGCTTTTTTTTCCCCCCAGAGTCCATTTAAAACCCTAGGATTTCCTTGTGATCTCCCACCAAAGTTCTAACCAAGGTCTAATCCTGGTTAATTCTTTCAAGATCAGCCAAAGTTGGCTGGGACCTAAGCTCTTCATTTGGAGATGACAGGATTGAACTTGGGATTTTCTACATGCAAAGCTGGACCTCTCAGTTACAATCATATCTTATGAGAGTTGTTGCAGATAAGCCATCAAAATCAAATGAACACAAGACCACAAACAGTTCTGACTTCGTTGAAGCAGTAGTCATTTTATCTCAGATGCAGAGTATATATGATTTTCAGACAAGTAGATTTCTTTTTCTCAAAGCTGTATTTCTTTTGAACTGGAAGCTACCTTCAGGCATGTGAGTTCCAGTGCAGGAAAGTCTACGATAGGAAGAGGTATATTTAATATTGCTTCATCCTTTCCCTTCCATTTGTTTCCTTGCTCAAAACCTGCAAAGCCAGATTGTGAAGCTAATTTTAAATGGAAAGCCATCAGAGGAAAAAGGATTACTTAGCCTCTCCACCACACTTACAGCCTTGGAGTCTGTTTCTTCTTTTTTATACTAAAAGCAAAGTTACAGGAGTCTGTTTGAGCTTATGAAATTTTGCAAACCAAATATAGTTTTCAGTTCTGATGGAATGCTACATCCAGGAAGAAAGATACACAAAGTCTTAATGATTTCTCACCAGTCTGCTTCGGGGGGCAATAATGACTCTCAATTTGTGCTCTGTTATTAACATCCTTGCTTTCCTGCCAGGAGATAGCAGAACAAATTTTTACCTCTTAATGACTTTTATCCAAGAGAGCACTGATAGCTGCAGGGAGAACCATAAGTAGAGCTCGCTGGGCTCAAAGGGGAGCTTCTCAGATGGGGCACCTCATCCCAGCATTAGTCATCAGCTAAAGAGCTCATGGCTACATTGGATGGAGCAGACCCATTCTGGTGCCCAGAGCTTGCACACACAAGTCACTCTTAGAGACAAATAGCAGAACTGGTGGATCAAAATGCTGTCTTGGAACAAGGCTGGCAGGTTGCATCAGCTCGAGGTCAACTAGACTGGGATTAAAAACAAAAATCCAGATGACCACTAGATGGCAACAAAGAGAGATTTTTGTATCTCTGTGCTTCCATCTAGTGGTTACCCTAGATGTATGCCTGGAGGCTATCTGCCACCCTCACCTGCCACAAGCTGTTGATGTCCTTTTTTTAAAAATGGAAGACCCAGAAGGAGCCCCTTTGTCTGTTGGCTTGGAGATGGCCACTACCCTGTCTTGACAAAATTCATGCCGCTGGAGAAAACAAGATTGGGGAATGATTGCCTTCAATTAGGAAAAAGGAGCCATCTTCTGAACTTCAGTAGTTCAGTCAGGAGTCTTTTAGTCATTGCTCAAGTGCAAAGGCAGATGGGCTTTTTAGAATATTCCATGTACATTCTGTTGGAAACTATACCTGTATAGCTTTCTGTACAATAGAATCCTTTTGGTCCCTTGATGCTTGAAGAGGAAAAGAGAAGTGCAGTCC